CCGCACTCCCACCGCGGCCCTTGGCTTCCAGAGCTTTATTGCAAACATGCCCCCATACAGGAAGGAACGGCAAACCGGGTGCCCCGCCACCAGCCCTGGCCTCCGGGACCGGGGCTTGTTAGCGATCTCCCGGCCCCGTGCTGCCAGCAGGGCACTTCTCGGGAGTGATGCCCCGCAGGTAGTACACCCAGGAGACTTCTGCCCCCAGGCCGGCTGCCCGAGCGCAAGAGACCACCAGCTTGCTCGTGACGGGGGCCTCGCTGTCAGCTGGGTTGCCCTCAAACGAGACAGTGATGTAGACGGTTTTCTTAGGGCGTAAGTTCGTGGTAGCCCTGACGGTGAACGCTGGGTTCTCCACGTCGTACCTGAAGGCCATGTGCTGCAAGAAGACATTTTTGAAGGGGATGGAGGTGCTGCAGCCAGCCTTAATTTGGAAGGGGCCCTGCGGCTTGGGTGGGACGGAGAGGCCGAAGAGTGGGATGCTGTACTCCCCGCCGAGCGGGGAGGAGAGGAGCAGCGTCGCTCGGGATTCGCCCAGCTGGCAGGGCTCATAGGTCACCTCCAAGCACACCTCGGAGCCTCCCACGCTGGCGGGGGCCACACTGATGGTTTTCTCGGTCTGGAAATCTGCACAGTCGATCTGCAAGGGGGATGGAAGAGATGATGGGGGGGGGGGTCCCCAAAACCCCCCCACCTCAGAAAGCACAACCAGCCTCAGGGCCCGCAGCTCTGAGGGCAGGAATGGAAACACCTGGGCAGAGGCCAAGGGTCCCCCACATCATGCAGCACACTGGCTGCAGTCGCCCTGCTCCCGTTCCCAACCTCAGGTGAGTGCCCATGATGAACGGCTATATGAACACCCAAATGTTCCCAGTAAGGACAACCCTGCACCCCAAACCTTGGGGGACCTTAAACCCCAGAAGTCCAAGCTCCAGAGGACCTGCAATAGCAGCTCCAACAAGAGCATCTGAGAGGGCCTGAGAGGGAGGACAGTGCAGATGGGGATAGGCCCAGCTTTGGTGGGAAGACCCTCACGCTCATATGGCCACCCTGGTTAGGCCAGGTCAAGCTAGAGGGGGCAAGATCCCCCAAAGGAGAGCAGTGATGCCGGCAAGATGAGCTGCCTCCCTCCCCTGCTGCCCAGCAGGGCTCCTTCTCTCCAGCAAGGGCCCGGGGGAAGCGCACGGGGCAGGCTGGGGGCACCTGGAGGACATAGTCTGTCTTCTGGCGGGCATAGTTAATGAATTTGGTGGTGATGGTCTGGTTAGAGCCCAGTGCGGTGCAGAAGTAGAGTGGCTTCTCAGGCCTGCTCGCAGTGGCTTTCAGGTTCAGGTCATAGTAGAAAGTGCCCAAGTCGCTGCTCTGGAGCACCAGGCGCCCGGTGCTCTCCCCCGTTTTCAAGGGCTGGTACTCAAAGACAAGATTGGCCTGGGAGGAACAGAGGGAAGAGCTGCTGAGTCAGGCAGAGAGGGGGGAAGCAGGGCCTGGGACAGGGGGAAGGAGGATGGCAGCCGAACACCCTTTGTCACTCCAACTAGCAGGGTAGAGCCATGCTGCAGCTGGGGGATAATTTACTCCAGGGACTGTCCCCAACAGACGAGAGCCCTCCAGCACTATCCCAGCAGCTTCCCCCCTGAAATACTCTTCATCCATCACCCCCGCATTAGGAAGCTCAAGTAGTTGTCCCCTTGCTGTGCTCACACACCGCAGCCCCAGCCCAACACACCTCTGAGGACCCTAATAGCTCTGCGACCTTTGCCATCTGTCAAATTTGAGTTTCAGAGAGGAATCTGAGGCATCCCAGCAGCCTTCCTCAGGAAATCAAGGTGAAATCCCCAACTCCAGACAACATACTCATGTGTTTCAGCAAGCTCTATGGTATTAGAGTAAGATTTTTATCTTTAGAGCTCATTTCCAACTGTTCTTAGGAGGGCTGGACAGCCCTAAAGGCAGTGCTGGTGAGGCTGGCACAGGAGGGCATGGGAGGCCCCACTGACCCTGCACAGAGGCCCTGTCCCAAAAAGGAATCACGAATAACACTCGGGTGATGACCTGTGGGACACAGGTTGGTGTTTTTGCATATCACAGAGGGTAGCATGGCAGACTTGATCAGCGCAGGGCAATTCCCACTGGGGATGTTCTCACACACTTCTTTCCTCTCCGCTTCAGTTTGATCCCAATTGTGTTAAATCTCTCTTCTGATCAAACTATTAGCAGGTGGGAACTGTTACCCTTGAAAAGCAGCCCCATATAGAGCATGGAGGGCACCACTCAAAAATCAGGACCCTCAGAGAGCACCTGCTCCCAGAAAGGTTGCAGAGAGAGAAGAGTGTGTTGGATGAGCTTTGTGCCTACCTCTGACAAAGCAGGAACAGTGAACAGTGGGGGAACGTTAATGTCAGGCACTTTGCAATCTGTGGTAAATATCACTGAGACAGACAGAGGGTTGTCCACGCTGATGGATGAGGACACGCTCTCCCGAATAGGGGTGACCAGTTCAATAGTGCTGATGGGTCCTGAAGCAGTAGCCTTGAAAGTGGCCATGTAGAACAAGTATTCCTCGGTCACCTCATTGAGGAAGGTCACCTGAATCAGAGTGAAATGGAAGTACGAGTCACTGTGCACATAAAAATACACTGGCTGTGTTGAGCCAGCCAAAAGGGCCTCTAGCTCAGCACGCTTTCCTCAAGAATGGTTGCGAGCAGCCACCTAGGAAGAGCGCAAGACCAGGGCAAGCACATGTGGTATTTCTGCTTTGTATTCTCCCAGTTGCCAGCTGCTTTCAGCTCAGAAGCATCCTGACCCACATGTGCTTAGCAGCCCTCAATGAATCTCCTCTCCTGGACCCTCACTGAGGCTGACAGCATGAGAGGTTTGTGCAGAGAGGAGATGCCTTCTGTTCAGTATCGACCTGGGATCTACAATCCCACAGGTGGGCCCAGAGGTATGAAAACAGACGCCTAGCTTCTCAGTGAGCAAGCAGCTCCATGAAGGACCCAAGGCCCAGTGTCCATGTTTACCATTGTGCTAAAGACCCCTTCCTTGTAGGAAAGGAACGTGAGCTTGTAGTCCTTCTGGGTGGAGCCAGGCACATCAATGTATTCCAGCCCCTGCAGCACAGAACTGCTTTCCAGCTTTTCTGGTTTGAGTATATCCACTACCACGAGAAACCTGTGGGTGAGAAGGATGTGGGAGAGGTCAATGGGACTTTCACAGGATACTATCACATAGGGGTACAACACAGCCCCTCTCATCCTCAATACCTGAGGGAACCAGCTCTGCCCTACCCTGGAGAAGAGCCCTCCAGATGGGTCTTTTTTAGGCAATACATGGGTAGTATGATCCCAGACACCTCTGGCCAGAAATGGCCAAGGACAGTGAAAAACTTGCTGGAAGGAGCTTCCAGGTAGGGGAAAGCCCTTCCTTGCACGGCTGCAGGGACTGATGGTGAGACGAGACTTCCTGGCCCTAACTCACCTCTGTGGTCTGTTCAGCCAGTTGGAGACGGGGATGAGCTCAGTGTAGGGAGTCCTGCACGGTACCTCCCGGAAAATAGATCCTGAACACTTTGGGGCCTCAGCAATCCCCTGCAGGAGGTACTGCAAGCCTGTCCCATCTGGGAACGGGAAGAAGATGGAGCCCTAGAGAGAAAGAAGAAAGCTGGTGAGCTCTCCTGCTTTCTGTCCGGACCTGTTGCTGGCTCTCGAGCACACCCAGGCAGCCCCATACCTCAGGCTGTCTCTCGAGTGGCTTTGACCAGGTCCAGCCGGCTGAGCTGTGACTGCAGCCCTGTGGCCTGTCCAGGTGGAGGGGGTGGTGTGGTACCCGTTAAGGCTAGCACAGCCATAGGGAATGGAGACAGCATGTCCGAGACAAAGCAAGAAAACGCTGACTCTGCTTTTGGCCCTGGCAGCAGAGGTGGTCTGGCCCACATGAGCTATATCCTAACACCCCTTTTCTTGCCTGCCTAAGCTGGTCACATCAGCTGCCAGCCCCCTCTGCCCCTACAGGGACAGCTGTGCTAAGGGGGTGGCAGTCCCTGCTGAGCCCCACTGCCCAGATATCAGTGCTGGGACTGTGCTGGCTCTGGCTTTCCAGCTCTGTCACCCTTCACTCAAGCCCCAACACTATCACCCAGAGAGCAGCTGTGGGCTTGCACAGCAAATTCCTGCCAGCCAGGGTAGGCGATGAAAAGTACTTGTCTCGGATGCCCATGGGTCACAGCCAAGTTCCCTCTATGGCACCTCCTTTGCCCCCAGAGGGGCTGATAACCGTGGGACTCAGTGCAGGGCTGTACAACGTTAAAAGAGATGCTGAGCACACCCAGGACAAAGCATTGTTCAGCACCCTTGAGATTCCGCCCAGAGATCTCTGGCCTCCTTCTCTGGCCTTAATTCTGGCTTACTGTAAGGTCAGCTAGAACAGGGAATGGGGCAGGTACCTGACACACACCTCCAGTATCCCAGAGCCAATCTGGACTGACCCTCTTAATTTAGAGGCTGGTCCCCGCTCTGTCTCAGAAACAGCCTATGGAAGCAGCTGGGCCAGTCATCCCCATCTGCCCAGCCTGAGACCTGGAGGAAGGGCTCTTTCCAAATCCCCCACATTACCAAAGGTGATGTCAAGAGAGATCGCTGTATCGTCTCCCACTTGACAGAGTACTCTTAGCCAGGGCCGTACCAAGAAACGGCAAGGCAGGTTGGCCCCTCTTGCTGCAAAAGAACCCTAAGCAGCAATGGGAGCAGGGCAGTGCTGGCCAAACTGGCCAGGCCAAGGGCTTGGGGAGCCTGCAGAGCCCACAGGGCTGAGCACAGGGGTCTCTGAGCCCCCAGAGCTACACAGGCAAAGACGAGGAGCTGCACAGAACAAACTTTCACTTCCTGGAGCCTTGGGCAACCTGGCTTTTTAGCTTAGCTCCTCTGATATATCTAGCTGTCAGTGCAGACTTCCCATCTACACTTTCCCTATGTTGAGCCTCTAGCCACCAAGAACTCCAGCTTCCAACATAGGAGCATAGGGTAATTCAGGCTGGAGGAGACCTCTGAAGGTCATCCAGGCCATACTGCTGCTCAAAGCAGGGTCAACTACAAGGCTCATATTATGAAGTTCAGCCTGCTGGCGCAGCTCACGTACCTCATGTTTCTTGTTCTCGGAGGTCATAGTTAGGGGTTTGTAAGTGATCTCGTAGGGCTTGTTTTGTTGATTGGCATCTAGATGGAAAAATTCAGGCCCTTCCCAGTGTTGCCCCTCGATGACAGGCTGCATGGTCCAGGCCTCATTGCTCGGGTTGGACAGGAGGATGGTCTGGCTCTGCTTCTCGCGCACATCACATGTGAAATTCAGTGTCTGCAACAGAGGAGCACAGATGCTTGGTCTTATTGAGGAATCCTTCCTGCTCTCACGGGGCTGGTACCTCCTCACCCCCTGGCGGAGATATGGAAGGAAGAGAGGCAGAACTTGGAACTGGGGGCGGAGCTGTGGGACAGCCAGTCTGATTTGACTATTAGCCCCAGCTGGAAAGGGAGCCCATGCTGCCCAGGGGTGCTGGGAAAGCTGGAAAGGGCTTGGACTCACTCTACACTAGGCCCTGTAACAGAGGGAAAAGCTTTTCCTAGTCATATACAAAATTTTGCTTTGGGTCATGGTTTTCAGTGTGAATCCATTTGTTTGTTCTTAAAGAATGGCTTGACAGAGATTGGAGAGGAATGAGTCTTTTGCCTGCTAGGTGAATGGGGCTGCAGCCTGACAAGGAGCAGAAGAGAAAGAAAATGGGGAGTCCTAGAAGAAAGCCTCCCCTGTATGAGGACAGGACCACTTCTGCGGCTGGGGGGACACAGCCGGAGGTGTGCAAGGCCCCTGTTGTGGGCGGGCTGAAGAGCAGGTCTGTGCTCTGTCTTGGGAGCTTGAGCCCATAGCTCCCAGCTGCACCCTCCTGCAATGCCTGTGAGGGCGAGGAGTCCTCCACGCTGCCTCCCTATGCCCCAGGAGCCGAATGCAGATGCTTTGCTCACTCCTAGTGTTGAATGAAAATGCTGTGCACTGTCACTGCTCCCCTGCCCCGACAGGGAGGAAGAACATGGCTGTAGGTGGATATTGTGGGTATATCTGGTAGCTCCATGAAGAGGGAGCCTCTAACAGCCTCATGGGGCATCCCCACAGCAGGGGTGTCACAATGCAGAGCCAGGACAGCCGAGGCACTAGTTGGAGGAGCAGCACTTTTCAGCAGGGGAGGAAGGAAATGAAAGGGCTCCAAAATTTTGGAAATCCTGCCTGATAGTTTTTTCAGCTCTCTGGGATACCCAGGCAGGATGATAGGTAGGAGTGTACTTGGCCTTTGCCCTTCCCCAGGAGAGACATGGTGTGGATGCTGAGGTTGGTGGGGTAGGACCCGTCCTGACTCTGCTCCTGTTTACCTCTTTGGTCGCTGGGACCTCCATGCAGCATCCTGCCAGTGTAAGCCGGAGCGGCTCACTGCCTTGGATGAAGCACTGCAGGCCGTCATACTGGATAGCCTGGCTTGGCTTAGAGGGGTGGAAGGTCACAAGGAAGGGGACATCCATTCCTGGGGAGATGTAACCCCTTGTGGGGCTGATGGAGAAATCCGGCTTGAAGCTCTTGACAATCCACTTAAACCTTTCCAAGGAAAGCACAAGGACAGAAAGGAAGGATTAACAACTGGGAGGCTGCAAATGCAGCATGCTGTTTTCTAAGGGCTTCAAGCTGGGCAAGACCCAGCTGCACCTATTTGCAAACAAGCATTTGGTGTAACCCAAATGCTAAATCCCAGGGCTTGACTGCATGGCCTCTGAGCAGGCCTGCAGCACTGGATGTCCCCCAGCACAGTGCAACTCGGATGAGGGTTCTCAGGAGCATGTGCTGCAGCAGAACTGGCTGATGGGCAGGCTGAGTGTCCTTTGCAAGGCTCTGCCAGCTGGCCCCAGCTCACAGGCTGGTCCTTTCCAGCCTGCTGCCTTGTCTCTGAGAGGATAAAGGAGAGGAGAACAACTGCCTGGGCAGCCACAGCCCCATCCTGCCCCCAGCCCTCATCCAAGCTCCCAGGCACTTAGGCAGGGGCAAGGTTTTGCATTACCTGACTCCTATGTCGCCTGTGTTCTGCATGATGATGCGTTGGCAAGCACAGCTCTGCTGCAACACCGCTCCAAAGTTGATGTGTTCCCGGTCCAAGCTCACGCTGATGCCCTGGCAGGAGCCCTGTACCATGAAGAGGGAGCGCACCAGGCCGTGGCACTCCAGCATCACCTCTTCAGTGAAGGGCAGGATGCGGCGCTTTGGGGAGAAGATCACCTCCACTTTACAGGTATCTCCTTTGGGCTTCAGACTTATTTCATTGGTGGGGTTCAAGCAGAGAACCTGTCCAAAGAAATGAATGGAGGCTACTTCATCTGGCAACTGAGCAGTGAATCCTTCAGAGCTAGAGTTAGAGGAGATTCTTCCAATCACGCTTAGATTCGTTCCTGTTCTGTCCCCACCAACATTACTCCAGTCTTGTTCAATCCCTGATATGCATCCTTAGGTAGCAAAGATGTTCTCTTGTAAGATGTCCATCTGGCCATGGGGAGCTGGACTATGACTTCCCAAGTCATTTCATGTAAGCCCCAAGAGAGCTGTAACTCTTTGTCGTTAAAGTTTGGTTTACTTCCCTTAACTTTACATGCCTAGAATATATGGCCACAACCATAATGTAGGTGTCTGAAACGCGTCAGAGGGATTATGCCTACTTCTCACTTTTGGCTATTAAGCCTGAAACCTAGCTCACGTGAGACATCTACGTTGCAAGCATCTACTGGTAGATCGTTAGCCTGGACAGCATGCAACTGTAATCAACCCTAATTAAACCATCCCAGTCCCATCTGGTAGCAAACATTACATAAACCATTGAACAATATATTTCTGCAGGTGAAAGAAGATATTCACTCTCAGCTTCAGAGTTTCTTCTCTATGGGTCAATGAAACCATATTCTGCTTTAACCCTTTGGGATCTTTGATTACTAGTACCCACAATGGGGGGAAAATTTCTTCGGAAAAAGGTTTTGGGCTATTTTTGCCTGAGAGAATATTGATATATTGGATAGAAGAGGGCTGATCAGTGCTGTTTTTCCCTTACACACTACTATGTCCAGAAAGGCAGAAATCTGATCCTGGAGTCTCTAGGCAATTTTGATTCAACTACCAAGTAGATTCTGGGGATGTCCATGAGGAAGCTAAGGACACACGACCTGCCTGTACCCCAAGCTCTCTGGGTCTGCTCCAGCCTGGAGCTTTGTAGTCATTTTTACACAGTGCTAAATTAGAGCTAATAAGCTCTCATGAGTGAAGGGAGATGTTAGCTTGGACACAGCAATGTGCTAGAGCAAAGCTAGCTCCTGTCCAGAGGGACTCACAGCTACCTGCAGACATCCCTGGAGGCACAGTAAAGTGTTCTCCAGTGAAGGAAGAGGCCTTACCCCAGCTTCTTGCAGCTCTGGCATAGTGTACATGAAATTGAGATTAAAAGTGAGAGGGGCAGCACTGTTGTTTGCTATGGTGACAATCTTCTTCACTGTTTGTCCGATGGAGAGGGCTCCCAGCTTCACCACCTTTCTTCGCGGTTCCACAACATCAACCTGAGGCAGGAGGGATCAGTATGAAGTGAAAGGAAAGAAGGACTCGAGTGGCACAGAACCAAAACATGGCAGATTGGGGAAGAGAGATGAGGAAAATGAGAGAGAAAGCCATGCTGGCTGGCTGATATCTGGAGTTTTAGGATTTGGGTTTTGTCTCACCTTCATTTCTGTGCCCCTTCCTCGGACTTCAACAGTTTGTTGGGAAAGACCATTGATTTCAAAAGGGACAAGCTCATGGTAAGACACAGCCTCTCTGGGATAGAAAGTGATGGGCACCTCCACTGTCCCTCCTGGGGACAGCACGTAGCCTGGGAAGTCCACCTCCAGGTGTGCGGTGCTGGTGAACAAGCAATTCAAACTGGGAGAAAGCACAGCAAAGAGGAGCAGAGGCGTCACAAGGTTGTGAGCTCAGCAGGCAACATCAGGGCTTCCTAGGGCTCTCCTGTCCCCTTTCACTGCTGTCTCCTTTCAGGCTGTCATCCACAAGTGTCATTAGCGCCCACTGGCTGTGTCCAGGGGTCTGTTTATCATAGGAGCTGGCCATCTTCTGCTCAACAGACAGGGGGAAATAATCTGAACAGGACCCTTGTGTGAACAGCACGCAAGGAGAAGTAAATACAGGCAAAATGAAAGACTCAAATCAGCCTGGGCCAGCACAGTTGGGGCATGAAGGAGGCTGGTAGTGTTACATACTAGTGTAAAGCAGCTCATAAGCTCAATGAATAGATGGTGTCTCCCTGTTGCCAAGCAGGATGCCCATGCTCAGCATGCCACCTGGGATGGGGAGACCTGTGCTGAACTGCCTGCTCTGCAGTAGCCTCCCTGTGATATCCTGGCCAGGCTGTTCTGGGCCTTGCTCAAACTCAGGTAACAGAGGACTGGAGAGCAGAGTGATCCAGCCTCCTTAGCTTGCCTGTGCTGCCAGACCCTGTCTTCTTATACAGCCAAAATAGATGTGTGGGCACACAGGTCAGGAGGACTGACACAGGCATGCAGTCCCCACTGGCTCCGAAGGTCTGGCTGCTGCGAGGAGTCAGTGGCAACGCTGTCAGTCCATTGAGCCTCAGGGCAGGTGGTCAGAATACGGCCCCGCTTCCTCACCTGTGGTACAGGCTAAGAGCCCTGCTCACCATGAGGGCATGGACCAGTCACGTGCTGAGCAAGGGCCAAAGGAGTGAGCAGAGAAGGCCTACCTGACATCCTTGTCTGCCTTGTTAGTGATGATGAGGGTCTGCTGGGCAGGCAGCATCCCGGCGTGGTAGACAAAGCAGGCCCCAAAATTGAGTTTGGTGAAGGAAAAGTGGACAGTGGGCACCACCACAGTAGCCAGCAACATGCAGATGAATGTGGGGCCCTTGCTAATCTGAGGTGGGGGGAAAAGACAGCATGAAGACAACATGAAGAGGCGGGAATCGCACCTGGAGTGGAAACTGAACACCAGATATGGCTGAGGAAGGGGATGGGGACTGCTGGTTGCAGTGACAATAAGGGAGAGCAGGTGCCAAAGGACCCCAGAACGGATGCAGAAAGTGAAAGGCTTGGGCTGAGGGGGTAAGGTTTTAGGAGAGTCATGGCCCTGCTTTGTACGGGTGCCTAGAGCTGCCATTCAGCAGCATGGCTACATGCCAGCAGGGCCTCTGTGAGCTGTGGGACTTGGCTCAGTGGGGCCCTGGCAGAGAGGAACAGGCCCATCCCCGTGCACATCTAGGGTTCCCCCTCCCCCCCCCCCAAATTAGGGGCAGAGAGGGCCTGGAGGAAATGTCCTGCCTCAAAAGCAAGTGAGCCTGGGTCAGCGCTTCTTGCAGCATTCACTTCAGGAGTCAGGCTCTTCAGTTTGGTGGCAAAAAGCCTCTCTGCCAAGTTTGGCTCTTTAGTGATGGAGCTCATGCCTATCTGTGGGCTCCTGCTGCCAAGTTGGTGTGCAGGGAAGGAGAAGGCCACATACTAAACCTTAGCCCCTCACCTGCAGTGTCAGCTCTACATCCTTTACAGAGCACATCTTCCGTGGGTGGAAAGTCAGCAGGGCCTCTGCTTTCCCCTCGGCCTCCACGGTGCCCATCTGAGGGGTAATGGTAAGGAACTGTTTCTGAGCTGGGGGGCCGCTAAGTTCCCATGAGAAGGTGAAGCTCAACTTCCCGGTATTGCTGATGGTGAAGATGTTTTGAATGTTTTCATTTAGCTCCACCTGTGGGGAGAAGGCAGTGGGGACTAGGTGAAGGAAAAACATTCCTTCTTCTTCAAGCATATTTGCAAAGCTTCTGGTTAAGAGACAGCCTTGCATGGCTTGGGTTCAGGGAACCAGTGCCACTCACCTTCTTGAAGTCAATGACGTTGGTCTCCTGTGCATTGAGCTCAGCAATGCAGCCATCACTGTCCTCAAACCTGACAGTTATGTTCATGCTATAGGCGGTGGCCTTGATGTTCAAGGAGAGGGGTTGGGGCTTCCTCTTAACATCACACATGAGGTTGAAGACCACCTCTCCTTCTAGTATTGGTATGAAGAAGATTGTAATGGCACACCTGGGGAGAGAAGACCCTTACTGCTCCATTCACTGCTTCTTATAACTTTCTTGGCCCCAAATTGTTTGGTTCACAGGAATGCAGGCTAGGGTGGGACCCTAGGCCTGGGAGAAATCAGGAGCAGCGCCCTGCTGTATTGGCACCTTCTCTTATGGAGCAAATCCTGGTGAGAGCTCTTTTGGGTATGATTACCCTAGGCAGTGAAATGACAGAGGTTATAACAACAGGGAAACGATCTCTGAACTAAAGAGGAATATAATGCTCTGTCCATGTGACATGGGGCAGCATCACGCTGAGATCCCTCTTTTGTCCTGAACACAGAGTAGGGCATTCCCAGTCCCATGGCAGTTGGCAGTGCAATGGGGACTCCCCTGGACTGCCTCTTTGTAATTTCTTTGTGGGGCCTGGGTACATGATCTAACACCATCAAACTGCAGAGGCTTAAGGAGTTGGGGCTTGTCAGGTGAGCCACAGTAACTGATGCAGATGCTCTCTTATCCTGCACTCAATGGCAAGCCAAAACACAGCAGCTTTTTAGCCACAACAAAGATGCCCGGAGCTCATGCGTTCTCTTTACACCCAGGCAGGCTATGAGCATGCGTGATGGGTCCTGTCACTAAAGCACACTGTGTCACTTTCACACTTAGGGCTGCTGGCTCAGGGTATCACAGGGTTCAAACACAAAAACATGCAAGATCCAACCTTGAATTTCTCCAGAAAGGGGGCCTAGAAGACCTGGTTACCCAGACACAGCCATTTTACAGAGACAGCAACAGTTAACTGTGCCTGCCTTTTGGGACAGAATTAAACAAGGCATATGTCTGCTACTGCTGAGAGTCCCCTGGTGACTGCAGGGGGGAGACCCTCAAAAGCGAAATCGACAGTGCAACGTTTGGCACTTCGGAATCTGACTGCGAGCCCATGATGGTGCCTGTGAGCCCTGGTACCTTGAAAGGGGTGCGATGGAGCCTTGCAGGGGCTCTACTTTCAGGGAGGCGTTGCATCCCTCTGGGAAGAAAGAACTTTCTCTGAAAGCAAAGCTGAAGGCCTCTTTCTCGCTGTTGATCATGTAGATTGTCTGGTACATCTCGTGCCCTGGGGTAAGGACAGAGCAGCAGCTGAAAACCCTCAGTTTCTCTGGCAACCAGGCCACCAATGCACAACATGCTCCTGCCTGCCAGCTGAGCCAAGCAGGCAATTTGCACCAAGGGGCACTGCCTGCAGCGTGGCACGCTCAGGACATGGACACACTGCCTGTGACAGTGGCCTGCCCGCTGGGGTTAGCTCCAGCACCTTCGGCTGTGCACTCAGAGCTGAAATCCAACTTCCTCTGCTTTTCCTGAGCACCCACCAGCCACCACAGGATCAGTAAACAGTAAAATCTGAGATGTTTGAAAGATAATTCAAAGAAACCATCTTCGAAAGGCCTAACCCCCAAATAGTTCTGCCCCTACAAGAACTGAGATGCTGCATAGCTGGTCAGGACCCCACAGGGCAGGAGTATTATATCCTTCAGGTGAAGGCATTTGGTGGCAGCGGAAAGGCAACAGTCTTCAAGGACATCCCTTCCAGGAGAAGGCAGACCCCATTTCTGAAATCCCCTCCTCACACTCACATGCTCCAGGACACCAGAGCAGTGACATGGGGGTTCTGCCAGGCTGAGGTGGCTCACAGGTACTTCTGACCTCACCAGGATCCACTGCCCTCTACCCAACTCTTCCCTTGGAAACAGCTCCAACCGCATGCCTTCCTCCTTTCCGCTTCCTCTCCCTCATACGCTCGGGTGCTGGCGGATCTGCTCATAAGTGCTTGTTTCCACTTCCAGCTTCCTCTTTGGAGCCTGCCAGAGTAACAGGACTGCGGGGGTCCTGGAGTGGTACGTATCTGCAAGGCTCTCACTGTGGTACTCACCGACTAACAGCGAGTGGAAGTTCAGGTGGGATCTGTCCAGAGACACTAATGGATCAGTGGCATTGCCCACCAGCAGGAACGGGATTGAAACACTCTGCTCAGGGATTGTAAAGACCCAGAATGATTCTGTGATGTCCAGGTGCTGAGGGATGAATTGAAACTTGATCTGGGGGAGAAAGAGGCAAATGAAGGGTAGCTGCTGCCCATGGCAGGGGTAAGGAGAGAGGGCTCTACCATACAGAAACCCCAGAAAAGCTCCATCTTTTGTTGCCCATGTGCTGCCAGCTCTAAGAGAGGCCACTGTGCCACTTACAGCCCAAACACATCAAGACATGGGGCACAGCAGGAGAATAGGTTTCATATTCTGCCAGGTCATTACTCTGTAGTCAAAGGTTTCTTCAGGAGCTTGGCTAAACCAAGCCCTGGGTTTTCCGAGGAAGTGTAGACACAGCTGGTATTAGACTGGCACACATGTGAACTGGACCCACCTTCTTCATTTTTCGTACCCACCTCTACCTTCTTCTCTGGCTGGATCTGACCTCTCTCTGTGAGGCAGGAGAAAGCTGGCTGTTCTCTTGGCACTTTGGGGTCTTGGCAAGTCCACTGGAAGGAATACGTGCAACTGGTTGGGTTCATAAGCAGGAAGGTCCTGGGCACACAAAGCAGAAACAAGTCTAAGGTGGGTTTGAGTTGTTAATGAATGTCCTGCAGCAGACATCAGGCACTGCCAGTCCTGGACACAACACAATCTGGAAGGGGTTGTTGGGTATGGGCGGACAACACTGGGAGCATGGATGCTTCATCTGCTTCTTGGGGGCCCTGTTTGTCTCCTGGCTGGATACAGGTAATAGCTATCAAAAAAGGAATTAAGCAGGGTATAGCTGAACTCTTGCACCTAAAAATGGTAAGATGCAGTAAAATGAAGTCTAAAGAGACTCTTTTGGGAGACGGCATTCGTTGCTATGGTTGCAGCTTTCACTGACCCTGCCTGACTGGTACCTCGAAGGAGCAAGAACGTCCCAAGGACACCTTCCAAGGAACAAAGGATGTACTGGCCACAAAGCTGGGGATATGGAGTCCTCCCAGACTGACCCATCCCAGCTAGCAAACGCTTCCAGCTGCTCTTTTTGAAGGAAGGAACAAAGAGAGCAAAAATGGCCAGTTAGTCTTCGCTGACCAGCTTGTTCCAGCCCCAAAACAGACTGACGGCCAAGTGCCAACAGATTACAGACAAGGTACAGATATGTTGCGGGGGCTTGGAAGAGGGGCTGGAGAGTTCTCTGGATAAGGGAGGGTGACCAAGCAACCATCAACAGGAGAAGCCATGTCCACACCTACCTGCTGTTCCTGCTATACACGCCAACTGCTGAAAACTCAATCACTCTTGTGTTGGGATCTAACGTTGTCCCCTGAGGTCCCCGCAAGTCTGGGTTGCGTCTGTTTGCAGTGACGTAGTCAGAGTCTTCCAATTCGAAGTGGCAATGTGGCAGCAGGCTTCTCCCCCTCACAACCACTTCTGGGCCCTTCTGATTTGGCTTCAGGTTAGGAATACTAGGCAGAAAGGGACCAGTATTAGCCACGCTAGCACTTCCAGGCAGCCAGCTGTTTATCTGTCTCCTTATACAGCAAGCAGTGTTGCATCCTCTCTCAGTACAAGCATTGCTCAACAACCAAACAGTCCCTGCCACAGAGGCAGCAGAGGTGAAATGGCAGAAACATGAATAATTATGTATCTAGAGACCAAAAGCAGCGTGTAGGTTTCTATGTAGATAAGGAGGCTGTGCTGGTCTGGTAAGGAGAAATAGCTAGGGACCAGCTGGCCCCTTGACAACCTTTCTGGATCTCCCAATCCAGATTTTGCAACCCCCGGGCAACCTTGTACACTTCTCCAAAAGCCAGTGTCCAAAGATCTAAACCTTATGGGGCTGGAGGGATTCCCCAAAGCTGCCCAAAGATGATGCTAGTCACAACATTGCACCGATATAGCACAGAAGAGAATGAGGAGTTATTTTCCATTCCTCTGAAAAAGGCTGTGTAAGAATCCCTGAAAGAAGGTTAATGTTTCATAAAATGTCTTTTCCCAATGCCTCTGTACCAGCTTTTACCAAGCCAGATGATCCTCTCTCTCTGCTCCTATGTGTTGGTTGTTTCTGCTGCCTCTCTGGGACTGGCTCTTCCCACCTCTCTCACAGGCAATACCATGACTGTCCTCCAGCAGTACGAGTCAAAAAGTGACTGGGCCTGGACGTTTCTTACCTGCAGAGCATACAGCTCTCAAACTCCCCCACATCCACTGGAGAGAATTTCATCTGGAAGAGCTGCTCCTGACCAGCAGGGATGGTGCCACTGCAGGGCTCGACAGCAAACTGTGGAGTGGCGTTGACAGTGCTCAGAGAGGAGCCCAGAGAGGAGGAGATGTGCTCCAGAGTGCAGCCCATCTGGCTGGAACAGCAGCTGGCCTGGAGTTTCACAGAGGCACCAGAACTGGAGGAGTGGAAATCCCCTGTGATGAGGAACAAGTTAGTGGGACATCTTCCAAGAAGGAAACCCTCTGTTCTCAGCACCTTTCCCTCCTGCTTCAGAGGGAGGGAAGGGAAGCTGGGATGCACCTGGCTTAAAGCCGTTGGCAAGGAAACCTCTCTGACCAAATGCTTTCCGCAGGAGGATTCCCACTGAGAAACAATGAGAGCTGTCAGGTCACTTTTTGCTTTTCCTCTCTCACTGCTTACTAAATTCTGATCCCAGAAAGTCTTGGGGGATAGGTGGAAAAGTGAGGACAGGCAACAGACAGCATTGGAGTAAGGGGGACAAACGTAGTGAAGAAGTCCAGTAGAGACCCAGAGAACTGCTTATATCAAAAGATACCACTGAACATCACTCTGTGCAAGAGGCTTGGATGAAGGCCAGGAAGCTATGTCTACGTTAGTAAAATAAATGGGCCCAGAACTGAAGCCAGCTGCTTCAGTCCATGCAACTAAACTCTCTCCACCTCCAGAACTGGGGAGCTAGATGCAAATTTCTCCCGGGGAATAGCTCCTGGCCAGTGTTAATTCTCAAACCATGTCCAGGAACTGCTGAGAGAGTGTCAGTTGGCTTGTGTCAAAACTGCACCAACTAACAGCACAGAGGACCATCCAGGAAAATTCTTGGGCACTGTTTCATGTCCTGGTATAGACAACCTCAGTGCTTAGGGACAGTGCTAAGTCCTGCTCCCCTGTTGCCTACAGAACTGAATTTAGGTTGTTGTGCATGCTGGAGAAAAGGGTTAATGGACTGTTCTTTATACCTTCTTCCTCCTTCCTCTTTATCAGACTCTTCTAACTGACAACCAGACAGCTAACAGCACAGCCAAATGCTCCAGCTTCAGTACACGTGTGCCCTCTGCCAGGGAAGAGCCAACACAACAACCCACTGGGGAGGGAGTTAAACACATTCAGGGACTGGGCTGGGCTCTTCCTTCTTGACCCAGCAGGTCAAGAAGGGTGTCAAGATGCCTGTGCCCAGAAGCACGAAGCTTGACAGACCTCCCCATACCTATTTCTGCTGAGATGTCTTAGAGACCCTGTCTCCCTGCAGGAAACCACTCTGGTCCCATGTGCTCAGACACAACCACGCTAGGGCAAGTTTAATGAGTCACTCCCCAGCTGCTGAGCTCCAATAGCTGCCTGTGAGCGGGGTATCAGCCTGTGGCAAACACTGCTGTGACTGAGTCAGGAAGGTTAATTTTAGACAGTGACTTTGCATTTGCTCTGGACTGAGGAACTGCATGCAGAGAGTGACTGCAGGCCAGCTGATGCATAGCAACTCATTACACCATCGTGGCTCTCTGTCTTGATTTTCTTAGTCTCTGAGACTTCCCAGATAGATGCCCCGATGGTCTCTTCCAGGTCTTGATCCACCATGTGGCTCTACCCTGAGCCAGCTTTGAGCTCAGCCTGGCTCTGCTCCTATCAGGAGTGCAAATGTCAGAGCAAGCGTAGGACTGTCTGAAAGGGAGAGGGGGACAAGGAGAAAGTCTTCAGCTGCAGTTTGGAAGATGCTGATGATGCTGGAG